TATTTGCTCGATTGCCGGTAGTCTTGTCATCTCTCATGTGTGCTCATTTTCCTCAAGCGTGTATAGTCAAGAACTAGAGAATAAATCCCTGTATCATAAGATCATGTTATTTCCAACTTAGCAAAATAAATAAATAAAATCCAAGCCTTTTGTAAAATGTCAAAATTAATTCACGTGGAGTACAAATAAAAACATATGTGTTAGTTTAACTACCTAGTTTTTGTCTGTCCTTTTGTTAGCATGTTTTGTGGTGATCGCTTTTTGGAACGCCTTTGGGGGCCCCAACTATTCAATTCCGTTATCTCTTGATAACCCGATTCGGTTCTCTGAATCGTATGAAAAAAGACATATGTGTTAGTTTTAATACAATATATCACTATCATTTATGGCATGTATGTAACTTTGCTTGCATTACAAAATCATGCCTTACTATAATATAGCGCGTATAGATTTTTTACAAGTCAAACATTACAAAACTTTGACCATGTTTATAGACAAAAGTATGTATGTTTAAAATACTTAATGCATATCGTTGGATACATCATCGGTTATATTTTCATGTTGTATATGATTAGAACTGTGTATATAAATAGTTTTCTCAGTAAATTCGGCAAAGTTTGCTTAGTTGGACTTAAAAAAAATTATACACACTACATTGTGAAACAGATGAAGTATATATCACGATCAGTGTATACAAAACAATCATACCATTCATATCCACCCGTGCCCTATACTACAAGTCTACAAGTCTCCCGTCTAGACAAAGTAGAGTGGTACAATCTGGTATTGATAGTAGCATTTACGGCGTTGTGCAGCCATCCATGATGATTGCTCTCAGAGACTCAGAGAGAGTCAGTCCGTCGTCACGGTTGTCTCCACCGCCGGACCGGCCGGCCGTCCACCACGTGCATGTAGCAGCGGCGAAGGTACGTACATCGAACCGCGCCGCGCTTCGTCATGGCCCCATTTGTTGACACACGGCGGTTGAGCTGTGTTTTTACGTCGAAATCCATGAACGACGCTGTGGATCAACTCTGTTGCCTGTTGGTGTAAAACATCGTCGCCATCGAGATCGAGACGATGAACGCGAGATGACGTGTGTTGCCAGGAGCTGCATGCCGATCCTGGAACGACGGGGGACTGCTAAATGCTGATCGGTGCTTATTAGTGTGATGCTTACCCTCCGACGACGAGGAGCCGGCTTGGACGTGCGTGCATGCATGGAAGTTGGATGTTTGTGAAGCCGGCTCACGCGTGCCTACTGTTTTTCAGCTCGCCCATGCTGCATGCCGCAGGCTGCTGGCGTGTGTGTGCCGCAGGTCGCAGCGCAGCACAGGGCAGGGAGGTGCTGTGGCGTCTGGCGTGCTTGTGTTTTTAGCGTAGATGATTTGCGCGAGGTCAAAGGGTCAGAGACGGCGCATGGCTTGTTGTGTGGCCATTCCTGGCGCTGGCGGCGTGCGATTCACAAGATGAGGCAAGGGGTTCACATCTGAGCGAGGTCAGGCCGGGCGGGAAAAAACTCGAGAGATGAGCGTCGAGAAGAAGGGGTTCGGTCAAGAACCGTGTGCTATTGGTGCAGGCCGTGGTGGGAAACGTTCACGTGATTGCAGCGGTGGCTTGGACGTGCTGCCCTGAGATCCAGTGACTTTACTTGGTGAAGTCACGTTGCAACTTTAGGCTCTTCATCTCCATCCAAAACAGATCCAACGGTCCATATCACACAAAGGCAAAAGCCCTCAGCACTTAACAGTTTTAGACGAGGGCGGGCTGAAGAAAACACTTCGCGCGAATCTACTTCGCTCTCACGCGCCGCGTCGGCGTGTCGTACAGGGAGACGGCGCTGCTCCGCCGTGTCGGAGAGGAAGAGAAACCGCACCACACCACAGCATCACAGAGAGAGCAAGGGATCCGCGCCGGCCGCCGCATCCACGTGGTCGCACCGTCGCTGGAGGAGAGGGAGGGGCGGGCTGCCGCTGGAGGAGTACGAGGGTCGCGCGTGCCGCCGCCGCCACCGGACGGGACCTCTGCCTTTCCGCATCCAGTTGAGGTCGCGCCGTCACTGGAGGAGAGCAGGGGCGGCCGCTGCCGGAGGAGAGGAGTAGGGACACGCCGCCACTACAAGATCGTTCCGCCAAGGAGAAGTCCATCGCTGCCACCATTTAATGAGAGAAATCGCCTCAGCATCACACCCGCGAGGTAATTTTACATGTCCCTGCTGGCCAGTTCAGTACATGTATGTAGCTCATGAGGTTTGGTATGGCCTATTGGCCGGGCGTACAGGTTCAGTACATGTACACGTCCATATACTAGTGCCGATCAGGTTCAGTACATAAGCAAATTGATTGCCAATCAGGCTCATGTACAGATTCAGTACATGTAAGTAAAACTGATTACTGTTAGTCATATTTTAACTAACTTTACTAATCTGAAACTGATTTATTTTAGTGATATGTAAGTAAAACTACATCTCCAGCATACTAACTGAACTGTAGCACACTAATATTGTCACTAACTAAACTTTTTTCAGGTGTGAGTAACTGAAATCAGCATGAGTGCTCTGCTCTGAAAATTGAGAATTCTGTT